CGGAGAAGACGTCGTCATTTGTGGTGGTGGATGGGGCGGCGGTGGCTGGGAGGTCTAGGGTTTCGGAGGCGGGTTTTTTGGGTTTGCGTCCCCTCTTGCGTTTGTTATCTCCCATTTTTGAATTGGGTTGGGAGAAGTAACTTGATTAACGTTATTTGAAATGAGAGAAGGGTTGAGAATGAGAATGAGATGGTGTGAATTTGTAGGAGACGCCGAGTAATATAGAAAGCAGAAGAAGAAGAAATCCACAAATGGATGCGAGGGAACCCGAATCAAACTATATTCATTTGTTTTCTCTTTTTCCACAATTTTTCTTATATTTCTGTTTTTGTAATTCTTAAATATGTCTTTCTTCTGTTTTTTATTCCTTAAAAATAATTCTCGTAAATTTAGTCCTTCTAATATTTTTTCTTTATTAGTCCTTGCTTTCCGTTAAATGATGATGTGGCAGAGAAAATTCCACATCAGCAATCCACGTTGTCCGCACACTGAACTAACATTTGACATGTAAATTACGATGTCATTTGTGCCTTGTGAAAGTTTGCAATTGTAGTATGTTGCTGTTGGTGGCTTGGATGGAGGTTGGAGCATGTAATGGTTGTTCAGATGTGGGTTTCGATTTCAATTTTTAAATGTTCGGATGTACGGAGTTTGTGTTGGTTTGGTCATGTTATGATCTGGTTTTTGGTTACGAGGCTGGTTTTGGTTTTGGTGTTCTGTTAATTGGGTGGGGGTGTTGATGTGGCATTAGATCAGCCACATAGGCATTTAACCGAATCACATTAACGGCGAGGACTAAAGAAAAAATAAACTAGTAGACGGATCAAAACCATACAAAAATTTTATAAGGACTAAAAATATAAAAATATATATTATGTTAAAGAGATAAAAAATATATTTATTTTTTTTTAAAATTTGTCACTACTTTTATATTACTATTTCTTGTCATCATTATAAGTCATAATATTAATTGTTCTTTAGTTTTAATTATAAGTAATAATTATTAATTTTTAAACAAAATTTACATTAATCGTGAGTTTTGTGTAGTTTATAGATGAATTAACATAAAGTGTAATTTTCATTTGATTTATGGGTAAGTCACTATATTATTATTGTTGGACGTGACAAATGGTGTAGGTTATCCTAATTATTTAAAAAAATAATAATTAAAAATTATATTAAAAGTTGAAATATCTTTTTTATCTTTTAGTTTGAACGCCACCAATTTTCTTTTTGCACCTTTGTCATGCATCTTCCTCCGACCTCTATGGTGGCCATCGGTATCGTGTGCTCAAATCCATCCAATAACAACAATCTCGACACCTTTAACATGTATGGTAGCTGGCTCTCAGATGATTGACGAAGTGGTTAGAGATAATATTGAAAGATGGATATATGAATTTGCTAACTCTTTTCTTGGTGGGAATCCACTTCGGATGATACTTCTAGTTAGGGAAGAAGGACTTAATATGTGTTGGGAGATGGGGATCTGTTAGTTAATTTGTGAGTGTAATTATATGGATATGGTGGTGGCTATTCAGAACTCAACTCATGGTAGAGATGGTTGGCACCATCATGGAGATGTCTTATGCAAGATCAAAGATCTCATGGCAAGAGATTAACATGTCTCTCTTGTAGTGATTCCACGTGGGATTAACCATGTAGTTCATGTTCTCACCGGGTGGACAGTTGTAAATACTACACATAATGTGAAATGAAGGAGTCCTCCAACCTTTGCATTGCATGTAGTAGGGTTGGATGTCATTTTTTACAATAATTGTCAAATATGCATTTTGTTAAGTCTCAATTATACATCTTTTTGAATGAGAATTATTGTACAACTCTACTCATTCTTAGCACCATTGCAAGATAATTGTTCCCTTTTTGACTCATCTTTTGTGCAGATATAGCTAACCCATTTTAGCTAACAATACCTTAATACACCTCATTTTTTGTGCAGGTATTGAGCTAGAGATTTGAGGATTGAAGATCTTTTGGATTGGAAACATAAGGAGCCAAGGAGCAGAGCAGAGTGG